TTGGAGATTGGGGAAAGGGAAGGTAATTGGGGAAAGTAATTTACCAAAGGAAGTGGAAACTATTGTTTACTCCTCTTATAATATTTTCTGATTCACTTCGTTGTGGGAACCAAGTCAGTTATTCATGTCCCTGGGACGCGCCGGACTTCAGTGTTCCGGTGTTTTCATAGTTGTATCTATTGTACCTAGATCCTGGCTTACAGGAGTTGCAGCGGTTTTGAGAGGTTGTGGCGGGGTTGTCCCTTTATATATTTTTTTGGATAAAACATTGCCCGACTCTAGTATTTTCTCCTGTATCGTGGGTACCAACGTTTGCAAGGATACAAGTTCACATACACATGACACCCAGACCTTGAACAACAATCTGTGGACCACACAAAGAATTGTTCCGTGAGGGAAACGAACTCGCGACACGTTGTGCGGTAGCCAGTAAATGTATCATAGCTTCACTTTTTGCCATATATGACATGAGTCTATATTGACATTGATTTTTAATTTCGTGTTGTTACTAACTAAGAACTTCAAAAATGCTTGCGTTGTATTTCGTCGTGTGAGTGAGGTTACCCGAGGCCCAGGTCCCCTTCCCCAATCTCCCCAGCCCCTGAATACCCAATGATCCTCAAACTCCTAATACCCAAAAGGCCAGTAACGCATTCGTAACGCCTCCGGTGTTCCAGGTGTCCAGGGGCGACGCCGATTGCTTACCATCAGGTGATCCGTCTTCTCGTTTACCGACTTATCTCATAAAAAAAATGGATGATCCAATGAAATGGCTTCTTGCTAGCCTCGCTAACAAATTTTTAACTTGAAAAGTCAACAAGAATTTTACATGCATAGAACTTTATATGTTCTATGTATAGAATAATCGTAGTGGCCCGGAGGTTTAAGACGCCTGCTTCTCATGCATGAGAGTGCGGGTTCGAAACCTACCAACGGCAAGTACCAATGTGACTTTTTCAGAGTTATTTTCAGATTATCTAGACACCACTGACAGACGGTGAAGGAAAACATCGTGAGCAAAACTTGGGCTCATAATTTCTTATTATAAGTTTGTAATCGCCAATCCGCATTGAGCAAGCGTGGTGATTAATGTTCAAACCTTCTCCGTATGAGAAGAGGCTCAGCAGTGGGCATTTATAGGCTGTTGATGATGATGACGATAGAATAATTGCCTTTTTTTCGCTAATCACATTATTTTTTTTGCAGCTCAGCCCTTCAGGAGGTGAAAGGCATAAAGCAATATATATTATGAATTTCAAATATCACAAAATCAACTTCCATAAGTAGATAGAAATGATTTCAGGAATATTACAGGGTTCGCAATGCAAATACTTTCATATGAAACTAGAAGGAGCTGAAACTGAAGTATCAAGCAATTAGTGCTTAAGACTAAAATTCCTTTATAACTTAGAAATTAGTTCTTAATTATATAAAACCTAGCTTGCGAAATCTTGCTTTAATTATGCAATGCACAGTTTAAAATACTTAATATATAACATCACGCCTTTTATCCCAGATGGGGTAGGCAAACGTGCACATTACGGCACCTAATGCCACTGTACAATGTAACACCCACTTTTCACTATTTATGTTATGAGTCCCATGTAATAGGCGGTAAGCCTATTGACATATACCGGGCACAATTACAGACTCCGTGCTACTACTGAGAATGTAGGTATATAAAAACCTAGTAATACTTCCTCGAACCGGAAATCGAACCCGAGACCCCTTGCTCGGCAGTTGCATTTGCAAACACTCGGCCAATGAGGCAGTTTAAAATACTATATTCATAATGCTTTCACTTCTTTAAGGTAGTAGACCAAACTTGATTTATATATTTACGTCTTCGCTAGCCTTATTACTGAAATTCCACCTCCATGACAGTACGAAAAATACGAGCATTTAAAAAATACCACCAGAATCGAAAACCTCTTTTTGAAGTCAATTCAACTGAACTAAAATGATGTTCGTCACTATATAGAATCAAATTTGATACTCCTTATTCAGCGGGCTTGCTTACACCAACTTGACAAAAACATCACATCACCAGCCTATAAATGCCCACTGCGAAGCAAAGCCTCTTCTCACACGGAGAAGGTTTGAGCATTAATCACCACTTTTGCTTAATGCGTGTTGACAAAGGCATACCATAACACAGAGAAAAAGAAACCATATGAATAACAACCCAAGTTACAAATTGTCTCAAAATATAATCAAATCAAATAGCATTTCGTATGCATTACCAATTAACATGGTTTCCTTTAAACAAAGCGATGCTTTGAGGAGCAGATTTTAACGAGAAATGCCTTGCTCCCCTATTAGGAAACGCTTAACCTTAATACTGGCTTCATTGTTCCTATTGTGGTGTGCACAAATTATTTTGAAATGCAAGCTGTAATTTGAGGTTCAACATTTTGTGTAAGTATACATATGTAGATTGTAGGTATTCGTAAATATGTAAGTATGTGTATTTAACTCGTCGAGTACCGTCATTATAGACACAATTATAGAACAATAGGTTGCGGTCACCGATGGCCGCTCGGTGATTGCCAGTTTAACACTAGAAAGGCTGCCGTCCCAATTTTGTTCCATTTGCAAGTTTGATAATACATATCTTTATTTTTAATATTAGGTGCGTGATACTTTTTTACTTTTATTTATTTAATTTAATAACTATTATTGTTTTCAGTTGGAAAACCATAATAATTAAATAATTAAATAATGATTTTACTATAACTGCCGCTAGGTTACTTCGGTTCCCGGCTTTTCTAGTGTTAACCGACTTCAAAAAGAAAAAATGATTTTAGTATAGTAGTTATAATAAACCGACTATAAAAAATAGGGGGTTGACGTTGGTTTTTTCCCTGTGTTCTTTTTACTAAACTTAATATTCTTATGACGTCACGTTTTAAACCCTTCAAGTGCAGTGTGCATTAGTAGAAATATTAGCCTGTTGTAAATCTCCAAAGGGTTGGCAGAGTTGTACAGACTTCACTTTTCACTAGTTGCGATTGCAAGTCCCTTGTAATATAAGCCTTTTGCTATGCTTTCACCAGGCTCAACAATTCCAGTTCCTGTATTAATATAGAAAAAAATCTAATACTGAATAATACTTCCCCTTCTTTTCCTTCCCCAATCTCCCCAATCCCTGGATCCCCAACGATCTTCAAACTCCTAATCCCCAAAAGGCCGGTAACGCACTTGTAACGCCTCATGTGTTCCAGGTGTCCATGGGCGGCGCCGATCGCTTACCATCAGGTGATCCGTCTGATCGTTTACCGGCTTATGCCATAAAAAAAAATACTTCAGGCAGACAGATATCTGGAAGTTTGACACAGCTGTACTAGCAAACCAACGAAGCAATCTAACTAAGAAAACAGTATAAAGTCAACAAACAGAAAACAAATTAATACCAAACAAAGTAATTACTCAAACTTCTAATTGGAGTTTTGTGAAAAAAAATATTTTATTTTTATTTTATACGAAAACATCCTCAAAGAGATTTTCTTCATTAATAGACTAAGGACTCACGAAGCGATTTTCGCCCGGGCCCACCGCGGTTGCGGGCCCGCTGCCTTTGTAGAATACAGACATATATGTAAAAAAATCAAATCAAAAATCGAAATTTGCGGCGGCGGGCGCGGCCGCGGTTCTGTAGCCGCCGCGGTCCCACACCCTCGCGCTCTGCGATCAGTTAGCTGGCGCTGGCAATGGGAGGGTCCGCCTGGAACTCAACTGATTGTTTAACCGCCCGTCTTCTTTTTTGAAGGGGGAAAATCATCCAGTCACTTCTCCCGCCTGGGTGAGGCGAGAGGGCGTGCGCGTGTCAGACCCTTACTCACTAAAAACCACCCCGTTCCTACTCCTGTACTTCGAGCCGGAGCCCTAGCAACCCGTTAAGTCTTCCGCGGTTCCATATCGGCATCAGCCTTGTTGGGCGCTATCTGTGGTGGTCTGATGGCTCCTTGAGGCGCGGAACCCGATGAGCCGTACGCTCGGGCCTGGTTCTGGTCGGGCGGCGAGTCACCCGTGCTCGCCGTCTGGCGATAATCAACCGCCAAGTTTGGTAATAATCGAACGAATCAAACCGTGGCGGCTGTGCGACTACAGAAAACTAAGGACTCGTGAGGATTGCAAATCATCTCCATTCCGCCTCCACTGGTAAAAATCGCGTCGTGAGTCCGTAGCGATGATGTAAAGATAGAAACAAAGATAAAGTTGAATCATATTTATTTTATCGCTACTTAAGTTAATGACTAAGACTTATTTTATGGTATATATGTCATAAAATATTTACGTCTATCGATTTAATAGGCTGTTTGATATCTGAACTAATTGTAATCTGTAGTATAATACATATATACATAACTCCGTGCCTGTCTCCCATTGTGGTAGGCAGAGACTATGGCACCCTAATTACTACGATTCTAACATACCTCTTTCGCTTCCTCAACAGTCATCAGTCTTTTCATGCATGCTCGTCAGATACTTTTAATTCAGCCTATTTTAATATCTAGTCGACATATGTCTATCTAGGGCTCTCTTCCGATGCTCCAATTTACAAACGCAGGTAGTATAATGTGCCGTAATAATATTATGTTTGCTATTCACTGAAGGGTTTATCATCATGAGAAAGGTGCTTATCTATTCATACTTAATGGTATGTTAGGTAAACTTTCATATGGATATACCGTAAGAGACGTAGCGCCTTGGAGGCTCCGAGGTTGGTCGTTAAAGAGGATCCAATGTCTCGAGGTGCTGTTGGTTCCCTTGGGGAAGTTCTTGTGAGGTAAAAATTCTACACTCCCTAGCCAAAAACTATGAAATGTAAATTTACCGAAGAATTAAATGTTGCATTGGAAAATCAGCCCTAAGTCTACTACGTCAAGGTATCGATTGACTACTAATATTTCGTTGAGTTGATAGTATCATCACGTCATCTCATATTCGCTACTATTCTAATAAGTATAGAAAAAGTCATAATAATTATATTTATTTACCACACTTAAAAATACATTCTAATACATTACAATAGAGAATATTTCCAACAAAATTAATCTACTTTCAGATTCCTGAAAGACCCAGGCATGCCCATATATTCTTCATTAAACTTGACCGTCGGTCGTTTGGACTCATCCGTGCAGGCTTTAGACATTATTTTCAAGTATTCTATATGTTTCTCTGAAGATAATTCTTCCAGTAATGCAGCTGTAATACAAATGAATGAAATTCAATATATTATATCAAAATCAATTCAAAAATAACTTTCCTAATTGATTAAAGAAATACATAAAAATCCCAGGAAAGCCTTTCTTATTTATAATAGTCGAGACAAAATAAATAAGTATGTGAGATTCACAATCTGTATTGCTGTGGTCTTTCGAAGAAAGTTCCTAACGCCCAAAAAGTCGGCAACGCATCTTTCTTTTTTTTATTAGGATAAGCCCGCCACAATCTCCCAAAACCGCTGCAACTCTTGTAATCCCGAATCTACAGTAGATAACAACCATGAAAACACCGGAACACTGAAGTCCAGAGCGTCCTAAGGACATGAATAACTGTCTTGGGAACCGGGGGAACCCAACGAATGGAAACGGCACTTGTAACACCCCTGGTGTTTCGGGCGTCTATAGTTAGCTCCGATTGCTTACTATCAGGTGATCCGTGCTATCTATACTAATATTATAAAGCTGAAGAGTTTGTTTTTTTGTTTGTTTGTTTGAACGCCCTAATCTCCGAAGCTCCTGGTCCGATTTTAAAAATTGTTTCTGTGTTGGATAGCCCATTTATCGAGGAAGGCTATAGGCTATAAAATATCACGCTACGATTAATAGGCGCCGAGCATAGCGAGTGAAACCGGGCCGAAGTAGCTGTCAAATAAAAAGAGTAATAAAATTTTCTTACCCTGTAACTTCTCACAAGAGTTTTGTTTCCCTCCGTACTCTTCCGGTAGAAGATGTCTAGGAAATACTTTGTAGAATTCTTCTAAAGTTTTGTGCACTTGAATTCTCTTACCAAGCTTCTCACTTAACAATTTTTTAACAGTTGCTAAAAGAATTTCGACTGCTTTTGACTCTGTTATAAGGTGTATATTCTTCAGTCGTCCACCGTAGCCTTTCTGAAAAAGTAATTGTTTATGTCCAGTACATCTATACAAAACATATCATAACATCACGCCTTTTACCCTCGAAGAAGGCAGAGGTGCACATTACGGCACTTAATGCTATTGCCATGTAACACCCACTTTTTACTATTTATGTTTTGAGTCCCATGTAATAGAGGGTGAACCTATTGCCACTAATCCAGGCTCCGTACTACTATTGAGATTTTTTTTTTAAACTCAGTCATTCTTTGCCCGACCCAGGAACCGATCCCGAGACCCCTTGTCTTGAGTCGCACTTGCGACCACTCGGCCAAAAAGCTATACATTTATGAATCTACGCAATTATCTGTGAGTGGTACAGAAACGATAAAATATATGCATAACAGCCAATGGATGCAAGTTGCGAGTTGTCGTTCGACGTAGAGGACCAAGGGGGAGGCCTTTGTTCAGCAGTGGATGTCTTTCGGCTGTTGATGGTGATGATGATAATGATAACAACAGCGAAAAGACAAATATGCGTGGCAACCTACATGTGTCCGTTTTAAGCCTTTATATTATATATTTATATTTGATAAAACGTTGCCCCACACTAGGATTTTCTCCTGTGTCGTGGGTGCGTTTTCAAACATACAAGTTCACATACATATAACACCCAGACCCGGAACCACAATTTGTGGATCACTCAAAGAGATGTTCCGTACTTTTTTCACTGCTACCCGCTATCTTACATGCTATTGTTTATTGTATGTGCACATGTGTTTGAGCAAATAGACACGATTTGATTTGATTTGATCCGTGCGGGAATCGAACCCGCGATATGTTGCGCGGCAGCCAGTGGCCCAGCCACCACGCCAACAGTGCATTCAAGTCTTTACGAAGCGTTTAAAAATACTGATTGAAATAACTTAATTTGTGATCAGTACCTACAAGTAGTAACAATATTAATATACTTACGATTAAAGTATTGATAAATGGCTGAACATCAGGAGTAGTCAATCTTGCAATTAACTTCAACATGTTCCAGTCGTGGTAGTCAAGTATTATGATAAAACCATCAACGTAGTCGTGAGCTCGAATGTATTCAACAACCTGGAAATAAAAAAAAAAACAGTTTATTAAACTAAATAATGCACTTATTGCCATTTTCATCAACAATGCTTTCACCGAGTTATAGAGGTAGCTAAAAGTTGTTTTTTTATAGCATAAGCCGGTAAACGAGCAGACGGATGATGGTAAGCAATCGGCGCCGCCCATGGACACCCGAAACACCAAGGCGTTACAAGTGCGTTACCGGCCTTTTGGGAATTGGGAATTTGATTGTGAAGGTTTCGGGGATTCGGAAGACTAGGAAGGGGTTATTGGGCCTCCGGTAACCTCACTCACACGACGAAACACAACGCAAGCATTGTTTCACGTCGGTTGTCTGTGAGGCTGTGGTATCACTCCGGTCGAGTCCGCCCATTCGTGCCAAAGCATGGCTCTCCCACACTTGTGGCTACATTGCGCGCAGAAGCCCTGACAATCTGGAGAAGCTGGTGGCGCGGGCAGGTCGTTAACGACTCGCGAGCGCATTCTCGGAACATCGCCAGGTGTGAACGGACCCTTAACCACTTAGTACTTGTCGTTGGTAGGTTTAGAACCCGCACTCTCATGCATGAGAAGCGACCGTCTTAAACCGCAGGCTACCACATTTTTTGCTAGATGCAAAATTATTGTTAGGTACCACACAATCAAGCTTAATGATTAAATTAATTTTCGATTCCTTTCAGTGAAACGACATATGACAGTAGATTTACGAAAGTAAAAGTATATATAGCGGATGTATCATCGGTAGGCACCCTACGCGCCCTGGCGATATATTGAAGAAGGCTAAATTAAAAGTACCCTTAACCAACGAGCATGCATGAAAAGACCGATGACTGGTGTGGAAGCGTTCCACGACACACGACGCGGTGACTGTCGCGCTGTTACTGGCTACTCGATGAATATGAGCCTCTAGTATGGCTTGAAACTAATCGAGTATCTCGACAAACAGTTACGTGTATAATCGTAGTTACGTTGACTACTAACTGACTGACTGCCTCGTTGGCCAAATGTTCGTAAGTGCGACTGCTGGGCAAGGGATCTCGGATTCGATTCCCAGGTTGCGCAAAGTATTACTGGGTTATTAAAAAAATCTCAGAAGTAACACGGAGAATGTAATTGTGCGCGGTATTGGCAATGGGCTCACCCCCAATTACATGGGAGTCATAACATAAATAGTGAAAAATAGGTGTTATATTGTACAGTGGCATTAAGTGCCGTGCGTCACTGCAGGGGTGCCAACTGAAAACCAGTGTTGGGTACTTACTGTGCCCAGCTTAGACTGAGTTGGCGAGCCCTTTCGTCGTGGACATGCTGCCACCCTGTTTCTTTTATTTTGCTTTATTATAATGTTTTTTTTTTGCCTTCATTGTTGGTTTTTTTTGTTATTTTATGTTTTTTATTTTGTTCTCTATTTATTTTTGTGTTTCAATGTTTATGTTGTGTGTTAATTTTCGGTGGTCCATGTATATGTCCATGGCGAATAAATTATTTTTCTTTCTTTCTTCTTCTTTCTAATGTGATGCCGATATTATGTGCTAAATTTTTTACTTACAATAGTAGTGTATTGGAAAAACTGCAACAGCTCCTCAGGCGTAAAATCGTCACATTGCGGTTTGATCCAGATTACTCTGCAGTAATCTTCTGTCATTTGCGGAAGAGGAATGTGCCACCTGTAGAATAAATTACATGATTTAAGAATTCTAGGACACAGGCTTTCACAGGCTTTCATATTGTTTTTGATTCACTAGAAATGTACCAATTTATGACAAAGGAGAAAATATCCCTTTTTCTTCTTCTTCTCTTGCTTATGATATGAAGGATCTCGTATCCTAATTAGCTTACACAAAGTCTTCTTTTCCGTTTTTCTTTATCAGAAACTATCCTATCACAAATTTGTTTTTTTTTTTCAAATCATTTTTCACTCAATCTCCTTAACTTTCCATTATTTTACATTTTGATTTATCATTCTCTCGATAAACTCGTAAAAGGAATGATACAATAGGATAGATGCCTAATTTTTATTTTAATGTCCGTCTGGTAGATTATTTTAAATCATTAGACACGTATTTTTTATTTTCTTACAGAAACGAATACTTTCGACGATATATTGATTTGAAATGTCGCGTGACGTCACTTCTATGTACATTTTATACGCAGAAATGACGTTTTAGCCCCCACTCCTAAATTTTGATTCGTTTTATCTAAGTATTGTTTTATTATACGACAAAATAAAAAAATACGTGTCTAACATTTTTTCATTGCCTAACTTACGGACTAATTAGATTTTTAATTTTATTCAATACAAGTATTCATGAGATTAAAAATAACAAACGAAATCTATTAAATTGAGGTCGTACCAAATACAGAACAGAAAACTACCACAGAGAGAAAGAACGAAAAAAGCATTTATTTAGCACAAAGCACAGTGCAATGAAAGCACAATAAAAAGGTTAATAATATGACAAACATATGTACAATAAAACTAACCATGAAGAGAATAATCAGGAAAAAAAGAATATTACTGCCTCGTTGGGTTTGATTCCCGGGTCGGGCAAAATACTAGATTTTTTTTAATTCTCAGTAGTATCACAAAGTCTGGAATTGTGGCCGGTATATGGTAACGGGCTCAGCCCCTATTACATGGGACTCATAACATAATTAGTGAAAAGTGGGTGTTACATTGTACAGTGGCATTAAGGCCAAAATTTGCACCTCTACCTATATGCCGGAGATAGAAGGCGTGATGTTATATTAAGTAAAAATCTGAATGCACGGTTGGTGCGGTGGCTGGGCGACCGGCTGCCGTGCGACGTGTCGCGGGTTCGATTCCCGCACGGAACAACACTATGTGTGATCCACAAATTGTTGTTCCGGGTCTGGGTGTCAATGTGTATGTGAACTTGTATGTTTGTAAACGCAACCACGACACAGGAGAAAATCCTAGTGTGGGGCAATGTTAAAAAAAAAGATACTTATTTATCTGAGGTTGGAAAAACAAACAAATTATTCTAACAACATGCAAATTCTTATGCTAAATCAGTTGCACAAACAGCATCTAGCCAAACCAGATCCTATTTATGTTACAAGTAATAATCACCTATGTATGTTCATCCATTTGAATGCTTAATTATTTATAGATCAAGGCCAAAGTCAATGCCAGTTAATAAAACCGGTTAATAAAGGTCAAAATTAGTGTAAAACTTTTACATTTTTATACTAGAGTCAAACTAAATATAGCAAGCGACTTGGAACGTAGGTACTTAAAATGTTGCTGTTAGCCGCTTCAGCTAGAATTTGAATATTATTTGTTTTGTGCTTCTAATACTTCAATATAGTCTTTAACAAAACTGTATTAATCATGGTCAATCAACAACTTTCACGACAAATTATTTAAATCTTTCAAAATATTCGACAGCACCGGTTTGGAGACTCGGTTGCCAAAGAAGAAAAAGTAAATAAAACATAGTAATCTATTCTTTTACATTATTTTTTTCTTTCTATAGTGTAAATAAACTACGTTAAACAAATGGAATATTTAAATGATTGCATGAACTCTTCAAATCGAATGGTAAAAAATTAACAAGCGACAAAAATTGGAGCATAATTTTGATTGAGTAACGCCCAATTTGTCTGTTGCCTTGCTTTGCGTCGTTGCGCGCGATATTTTAGCGGATCGACGGACAAGAGACGAAGCGGGAGGTTTTTTTTTTAAGGGGAAAATCATCGAATTACTGATCCCTTCTGGGTGAGGCGGGAGGGAGTGTCAGACTCTTACTGACTAAAAACCACCCCGTTCCTTCTCCTGCACGTCGAGCCGGAGCCCCGGTTACCCGTTAGGTTCTAGGGTGATGCGCAGCGTTGACGGACAGTCGTCAGATCGTTATCTGAGATGCAGCTGCGACGTCATGGGTCGTCGCAACTCTGGTGAGGCAATGCGTTGTTCCGTTGCAACAACGCGGCGCAACGCAGTGCAAAGGAAAATCCCCCTCGCACAGTGTGAGAATCCCGCAATCTAGGGGGATTTAAATGAAAATATTTTTTGTCGTAAATGTTATTACAGTTACTACCTATTTATACCTAAGACCGTATTTAACACAGCTACCTATTAGAAATTCTTGTAGGTATGTTAAAAAAATTCAAATAAAATGTTGAAGTGGGTGGATAATAATCGTTGAACCTTTACAATACAAACAACAATATTAAAGTCTCATCTTCACTTGAGATTACTGATCAAATTAACGTATAGTCTTGTTTATTGGTTTATTATTGTATTGTGTATACCTTTCAAGGTAAGTTAGAGTGTATTTTGTTTAAGTAATAGTTAAACATTGATCTCATAACATCATTTGAAAGCACAGTTAAATTAAGCATTTTCTAGAGACGATTTGCAAAACAAAAGGGTGTATAAAAAAAAATGATCTGAATATCCCGGTGCTGTTATTGTTTTAATGTATAGTTTAGAGTCTTACATTTTGAGAACAATTGCTAAAACTTGCGATTTTGTGCGACCGTCATACATTTTTTTTCGGTTTTCAGAATGACGACCGAAATTACAAAAAAACAAATTTTTGATATTTGGACCTCAAATGCAAAAAAGGAGCGAATTGATTCTATTTTTGCTTTAATAATAAATAATTACCCTCATGTACAATTTTCTGAATGTGCTATAAATGAAATTAAGTTCTTTTTAAGGAGGTTATGTAACAAATTTAACGAAATATGGACAGCTAGCGGTAGACATCGTGATCGCTTTTTAAG